TATTCAAATTTTAAAAAAAAATTCTTTTTTGCTGGAGTAGTTTATATTCGAAGAATTTTAACCACCCAAATATGTTTCCGACCATTATAAAAGATTACTGTACGCAAATATCAAGTTTTAAAATTTTAACCAATATCTCATAAACAAATTTATCAAAACCTGTACCTGTTGTGTTATAAATTAAATCAGCGTTTACTTTCATTCATATTGAATATTTGCATAATATTTTCATTTATATTGGATTAGATTTTAATTTTTTTCCTTCATTTTTGATTCTTGTTTGCTCTTTCTTTATTTTTTTTTCAACATATGTGTGATACAAACACAATAACCCCCCCCCCTCTCTCAAAATGAAAAATAAATAAATAAAAGAAAGGATAAACAATTGTTATATAGCAAATTATTATACTTAACTTAAAAGAATGATTTTTATTTAAAAAAAAATTTTTTTTTAAACATTAAAAAAAAAAAATTTGCAATGTGGCTTATCTATAAATCTACAAAAAACTAAGAAAAAAGGACTTCTTTTATATTGCTCCATTTTCAGAAGCAGTATAAAGGATGCTGGCTGAAAATAAGCAAATCTTAATAGACTGTGAGTAGTAGCTTTCTTTCGTTCGTTTCTATCATCGAAGGGCGATTTCAAATCAATGTTATAATTGGGAGAATATTATATAAAAAACAAATACGCTAAGTTCTGATCGGAAAACATTATTTTACAATCGATCAAATTAATTTTATAAAATTTGCCGCTTCTACTGTCCTACAATTTTACTTATGCTGAAAAACAGTGAAATTCCCTACTCACCGTCCAATCAAAACCGATTATTTTCTTTTCTCTGTGATTTTAATCCAATGACGGCACGCGCGCTGTCGCATCGTTTACATTTGATGATATCGTTTTGTGTTTTTATTTTCTTTCATGTTGTTGATACTTTGATCGAATGCTATAAGAACTTTCTCTTTTTATTTTAAGTAGAATTTTGACAGCTACACCTCTGCAATTCTCAAAGTGGAGCAAAAATGTGTCAAGTTATTTCCGAAAGAAATTTAGTCAAAATTGAAAACCCCTTGTATTCCTTTTTGAGTATAGACATGTTTAAGTTGACGTCACTTCACTTTCCTGTCCACTAGAAATCCATCAGTGGTCAATAAGTTATAGTAACCAGTAGGAACGATGTTGGGATGGGAATATGTATCGTCCAATAGCAATACTGCAAAAGACAATTGATTTATTTATTTCACTCAAGTGATGTAGTTCAGCCTCTGTCTTGGACGTCTCTATAATGCTCAATAATGAATACCTGGTCAGTAAGCCTTGCTCAATAATAAACTCATGAGGTTTTCAAATTCTACTATATAGCTATTTTGACAGATTTTGGCTCAATTTTGAAAAACTCTTTTTTACAGTGATTATGTCAGAAGAAATGACATGTTGTGTGCATGTCGTAAATGAGGCACATTCAAGTGTGACTTTTTCTAAAAAAAGCTCGGGTAAGATTGAGTGGAGAATAATAGAAGGTTCCTGAGAGAAAAAACAGTTTCTTCTTCTACTATGTTTTTACACAACAGTGTAGGTTACCATAGAAAGTGTTATAGTAAATTTACAGAAAATCATTGCTGCAGAAAAACACTAGATAAAGAGGTAAGAATATCTGATGAACCGGAAAGAACGTAACTTCTGGTCGTATATTGCGAAGTGACAGTGGATTTGTGCCACAAGTCAAAAATTCTACTCGCTGTTTGCTTAATCAGCTGAACTGAAAAAGACTCTATTTAATTATAACAGCTAATTATAATTCTTGTAGAATTATAAGAAATTAGATATTTAAGCAATCAAAATCTTTAAAAAAATATTACTTTAACTTTAATTTATTTTCTCTAGAATGAATGACGTATGCTTTAATTTTTTAAAAGAAATAATTCTCTATAAGTGGTATTTCGTAATAAACCAATGCAAACTTGAAATAATTTTATTTCTTGTCTTAAAAACATGTTTCTTTATCCTTAAACTAGCCTTTTCTCTGTTGATTTAAAATTTTTGAGCATCAAGATAAAAATATTTTGCTTATAAAACTTTTACGAAACGTTGTCATATTTTTATACACTTTTCTTTTGTATTAAAACACATTTTAATGCTTAGTAAAAGGTAATCAGCACATTTAAAATTAAACGCTGTGAAATCATTAAATCTGTTGAAGTCACTATCTCTAGTTTAATCAAATTTTAAAAAGATTTGGAAATACTTGATATTTTGAATTTTTTTTAAAAATGTCATTGAGAGTAAAATTTAAAATTGATTCTTTGCAGATTTTTGTAAATTTTTAAATATGTACACATATTTCACATTGAATAGAATTAAATATATTTTTGTAAGCAGTCTATTTTTAGTTTATTTAGTCTAGTTTTTTCTCATACCAAATGTGTTATAAATGCTATCGTTTTTTTTTATAAACCTTGCCTATTGAAATGAGCTAAATATTATATGAACCCAAAATCATCCTAGTCTACTATTTTGATGTGTTGAAACAGAGATTGACGTACAAAAATAAGGTAAATATTATAATTTTGAATGTTACCAATTTTGTTTCATTGCATGAGCGTAATAAAAGTGTCTATTTCAGTATTATGAAGAAAATTTTAATAGCTCTTTCATAACTTAACGCTAATTTCAATTAATTAAATGAGAACTGAGAGTTTCCGCACGTGATTAAAGGGGAACTACGGTTTATGTCCATTTTTTTACAAAAATGGCGATTTGAACGCTATCTTATGCATTTTGAGGATTACTAAGATCGATAACAGTATAAAATCGGATCTTCCTGAGAGTTATTACATAGTAAAGTGCTTGAAAAAAAACGGTTTTTGTTCACGCATAGACAAGAAGAAAAGTACAATAAAGAAAATGACGGAAAGACTTGTGAGGAAGTATTGATTGAGATCGAATTTTGTAGAAAAAACGGTCCATATTTCCAAATTTTATTTTTTCTCCACGTCAAAAATTGTAAATTTTTAGAGGACGTAAATAAATGCTTGTGACATTTATTTTCATTTACGAATGCATACTCCTGTTCCAACCTTTTCAGAATCAGCTTTCATGGACCCCTTCATCTTCTATCATAAGTTTTGCTCCACTGAGGGATTTTTTTTTCATTCTTATTTAAACTATATTTTTTCAATATTTTTAAAGTTGCTAAAAAGTGTGCTGAATATGGATAATGAAAAAAAAATGATATTATTGAGGTATTAATACTTCCATTTACTTTATAACCGTCGTTGAGCAGCAGACCCAATTTCGGATTTACGACTACCAATGTTCAACTCTGTAGCCTTGTAATTTTGAACACAATACGGAAGACAAGGGAACTCCTGGATCATGTATAGGGATAAATTTGCCTTCGTGGAGGACTTTTTAATGGAACTAACCCAGATTTTCGTTACATGGAGAGGAAAACCACGAAAATCTCCCACGCTTAGTCTGATGGCAAGGAGATTCTAACCCATGATCAAAAGCATCAAAAGCATAGTCAAAAAGCATGAATATGGAATTAAACTATTTTAAAACCATTTACATCGAGCATGGTTTCAAAACCACAAAAAAAGAAATTAAAGTGGATATTAGAGCTAGGCTTTTCGATAGGTAAAGGGCATTGAAGTTAAGTTGTGTCTTATCAAATGAACCGTGGAATGCTGCCTAATTAGTTTATGTGATAGTTCCATCTATCGTAGAAGATGGAAAATGCTAGACTTTTCTGTGTTAAGCAGCTTTATGGTGTTACCATCTATGCGTGAATGAGAGTATCATATTCAAATTGTCCAGGCTCACAATTTGGATAGAGCAGTACACTGGAAACTCTTCATGTGTTGAAGTTAGTGGAAGAAATGCTATTGTGGTGTAAACGCAGGGACCCAAACCCCCGTTCTGTCGACCATGAGATTGACAGTTTATCCCTCTCGGCTGTAATGTGTACCCAGCTGTTATGAACTAAGTGGTTTAAATTGGCGGGCCTAGTTGTTGCGGGTCAAATTCTGGTTATTTAACCATATTAGGTGAAAACAGACAATAAACAGTTGGAATACTATCTTTTTACAGTTATTTGACTGTTTTGTTTGATTATGGTAAAATAGTAATGAAATAAATTGTTATTTAACCATTTTCCCGAGATATTTCTAACAGTGCATTGAAAAAATCATTAAACTTTTTGAAAATCTTGAATATGATTCCTTCGGATAAAAATAAATGCTTAATTCTCATTTTTTTGCATAATTTTATGAGTTTAAACAAAGCAGCGTAGAAGTAAATTATTAAAAAAGGAACTGGACTATTCTCAGTTCACAAAACTTTTCTTCATTTTCATAATTATCATAGAAGGCTCTGGTGGAATTAACCTAATTGTTAAAGTGAAATAAATAAAATAAAAAGCTTTGCTTCATATAACGGCTTCGAAAAACAAACTTAAAATAATTCTCCTTGAAATAGCTTTTCAAATATTAAAAAAAAATCTATCAAATTTCTTTTATTCACAAAAAATTTCATTTTCTGCGAATTTTTGCACCATTTCAATAATCAGCTGACAAGATACCGGCTATGAGATGTAAAAAATTTAATATAACAGATAAGAATAGCTTTTACACTGTTAAAAAATAACAGCAGTTATAAAAATAGCATTTCATTGAGTAAAAGGCGTCATTTTATAAACAGAGGTATGCTATGAATACCAAATTCAACATTCAGTTTTGCTGTTTTACAACATATCTCATCAATAAATAGTAGTCAGGGAGAGACAACCCATTCAGATCAAAATTATCAATATCTAAAAAATTTACAATAAAAAAGAATATTCCTATTTTTTGTTGACTAGCTATTAGTGGAAATGAGTGCTACTTTAAAATACCTCTACAGAAACCATGGATACCAAAAGACAGAGTGTGTATGAAATCTCGTGACGTATTGCACAGTTGAGTGCTCCTAAGGGACCCAAGCGAAGGGAGAACGATTAAAGGATAAACAAAAGCCATTGGTCACTTTCTTATAACTATCGATACACAACGTCACTTCCTAGGGGGAGGGTCCAAACCTTCTTGGAATAGTGACGTCACCGTTCGAAGGCATCTTTGTTTAGGGATCCACGGTACAGACGCAAGTTTCTCTTGTGATGATGAGCATTCGCTGTCTTAAAACATTTCTACAAAACCAAGGTAAGTGAGTCTTCCTAATGTGTAATTTATTAAGCATTTACTGAATTAAGTATTAAACACTCATATTTTATTTATCGTTTAATATAAGTTAATGAATGGTGTTTTCAACAGAAATGGGGAAAAAACATAACTCCTGCTCTTTATGATGCAATTTACCGTCACGATTTCTGGAGACAATCTGCTTTTTTGTGCGAGTATTTAATTGTGCGAGGCGATATTTTCAAGCAGATAATGTAATTTTTAATGAAATAAATATTTTCTGAGTGCTAATCTGCTGCAGGGATGATATCTATATTGCGATTTACAACAAAAAGATTCTTGCAAGTGTTTGCCAGGAGTTTTTTGATGAGGCATCAGGAGTGGGGGTAGATTTCATGACGATCTTTTTTGCTATGGCTTAAATACTTAAAAAAATTAAACAAAGCGTTTGAATCAATTTTAAACTTATAACGAAATTATTGCTTTAAAATTAAAAAAATAATAATAATAACTGCGCCAGTTAAAAGTAATTGAAGTAGTTGCTTTATACAGTACATGTGCGGAAAAAAATTTAAAATAAAAAAATCCTAATTTTACAGTGAATCGTATTTGACAACTAATAAGTTACGTCCGATTTGAATATCTTAAAAATGAAAAAAGTTTCAAGCAATTTTCTAAGAAGTTTTCTTACTCTTTTAAGAGAAAGCTCAAAATTATGAGGGATTTTCCACGAAATTTCATTTTGTACTATTTAAACAAGATTTATAAACAAATGATAATAGCCTACTAATGATAGTCTGCACAACAAAGTGTGATGGAATTAGGAAATAAAACATGCGAACTTTAATCGGCATAATGTCCAACCGGTGTCGTTTATAAATCTTGTTTAATAGTACAAAATGAAATTTGTGGAAAATCCTTTTATTATTTTGAGGTTTCTTTTAAAAAGAAAAAAGAAACACTCCTTAGAAAATTGCTTAAGAAATTCAAATCGGACTTAAGTAGTTGTCAAATAAGATTCACTACAAAATTAAGAAAATTTTAAAATTATTTATTTATTTTATCGCGTATATGTGCAGTACAAAAAAACTTTAATTAATACACGTATTTGGAGCAGTTTTCAACATTTTTTTTTTAAATTTACGGCATTAATTTTTTAATCAATTTAAAATTGATTCAAACGTTTTTTTATTTTATTGAATTTTTTTAAAGTTGTTAAAAAAACGCAAGACAAAGAAATTTGTATTTTTTTATATAAAAATGTTCATATTTTCAAAAATATTTACGCTACGTTAACGAAGTTTAGTTCAATTATTGTATATAAGAGCCAAAATAATAAGTTACAAATTTATTACAAAAAAATTTTTTGTCATAGGGTGTTCAAAAGCATTTTTTCCGTTTGAGTAAAGTAAATTCTTTCCGTCTTTCAGTACCGTCTTTCCATGAGTAAAGACGGTACTGTGTGTCGCGTGCCATGAATCGCACGCATGCCATTGGTTCTCCATCCCTGATATAGATATATAGAATATCTTTCGCTATGTTAGGAATATTGCATCTTAGCTCAGAATGTCTTGATTTTAAGATCAAAAGTTATTCAGAATAAAACGTTCTATGCATCTTTTTCTTTTCTAGATTTATTCCTGGGCTATAATACTGGAATTTTTAAATGAAAAAAAAAATTAAAAGACATTAAAGAATAATAGCTATAATGCCGTTAACAAGTCAGTTCTACTTTTCCAAGGGCTAATGGAAAAATACCTCAGAGGCGGTTTAAAAATCGATTCTCTTTATGAACATTGAAAATTATCACTATCCAAACCTAACACAATCATTGACTCTCTCTGATCAATTACATTAAGTTTTGTTTTAATGGTTTCGTAGGATTACAATGATTTTTCGTAGCTTTTTTTAAGCGAACATTAAATTTAATTGAGACATGTGAGTTTAACGAAATTTAATTCAACAAAAGTTTTTGGTATTTACTTATAACGCCTTCTTTCTTTTATTTTAAATTCTTAAAAATGAAATGAAAGGTTTATTACTGAAATTAAAATAAAAAATTTAAGTTATATTTATATATATATGAGTTGGCGAAAAATATAATTTATAAATGAAAAAGGCAAAATGAAAATTACTTTTGATTGATTTTGTGCACACAAGTATAATGTATTTTAAGACAATTAACTAGGTTAATAAAGAAAAAAAAATTATTTTCAGTCAAAATTTTAAGTGATATGAAACAAAAATTGTATTTAATAACAGTTAAATACTTTTGATGAAAATTCTGATTCAGAAAACTAATGAGTAGTGCTTTGATAATTTTGAAAATAAATACTAAATAATATCCAAATAGCATTTATTAAGGGAAAAAAAGAGAGATAATAAATAATAATAAAAATATATACAAAATAAATACAGACATGTAAAAACAAAAATATGTATAAGATAATATATACAAGTACTAGTGAAAATGGAAAAACAAACATATTGAAAATGGAAAAATAAATATATTCGTGAGTATTTTGACAAAGTAGTTTTTTTTTTTTTTACAGCAATTCCTTTTCTTACTTTTTTGGGGGAGAAAACGAATTAATAATATTTTAAAAAAAATATAAAAAGCTACAAAATATATATTAGTTTTCAAGTTTGAATTATAATATGAAATAGCAATAGCATTATAGAAATTAAATAAAGTTGTTTTACTGAATGGACATTTTTTTACGTTTGCTCAATTATTGAACATGAAAATATTGAATGACTTCTTCAAAAAATTAAAATAATAAATCATATTTATTAAAAAATATATATATTTTGTCTTTAGGGAATAATAATTGGACCCCTTTACTGTGTCTTGGACAATGCTTGACCTTCAGAGAACATTGCTTGCAGCAGTAAGACTGGCAACTAAAGGTCAAGCAATGTCCTTTAAAAAAAGACACGGGATACTTTTATTTTTGGATTTTAATGTTAAACTCCGTAGTTTCGAAATTTTGATCGAAACCTAAAAGACAAGAGAACTCTTGGATCAAGCATTAGGGCAATAGCATTCNGGTTTTTTTTTTTTTTTTTTTTTTTTTTTTTTTTTTTTTTTTTTTTTTTATAGAACTGGTCTGCGTTTGCTTTACATAGTGATGAAACTCAAAAGATTGTAGAATTGTGTATGGGGTCCATCATTTGTTGGTTGGAAGAAACAAAGAAAATGATAAAATAAAATAGAAAACATCAAAAGGAGCCACCAGGAAATATCACTTGTTAATAATTATATGGATTTAACTGCTGGTAGAATTCAGGAGGATGAATCAAAATTTAATAAAATTAAACATTGGAGGAAAGATGTTAGTATTATATGTAGATGTTAGTTAGTTTTATTTAATAATAATCAAGCATGAGGTTAATCGGATTCGAATCGCGGCGATAGCTGGTCGAGGCATGGAGCTAGGAGTAAGTGGAGAAGACACTCCCATTGACCCACTCCTTTCAAAGGGAAGCAACCGCGAGAGTTTTCCGGCATCTTACTTGCTGCGTCGTTGTGCGCTCATACATCTTTCTATTTCTAGTTAATCCATGCTTTTTAACGAAGCTTGGAGGGCGGTTTTGAAGGGTTCTTAATTTGATTTAAAGTGTCGAGTTTAGTCTTTTAAGTTAAATAAGAGATCCATCCATCCAAGCTTTCTCCATTTTTTATTTAGCCGTTAGAATTTTCGTATTTCTAACTTTTAGAAAAAACATTTCAACTTGACAGAATTTTTGAAACAAATGGAATTCTTGGTAAAGTTAATATTAGGTCAAGTTCATTTAACAATCACTATGCACTTTTCAAAACAATTTCAAGAAGATAAAAAAGTTTATTATCTAGAAATTTAAAATTTATATTACTCTGATAGTTTTAATTCATAGGTCCATAAAGTCAGGTAACTAATTATTTTAAGAAAAGACA